CCACAAAAGCAAAGAATTGATGTTAGACAGCTGTCTTAAGATGGGTTCACCTACTTTGCTTTTCATTTATTCACTGTGAAAGAGGTCTAAATCTGCTGCAGAAGAAAGCATGGAAGGTTTTTCTGGCTAGAGAAATAAGGATTTCCATGTGAAGTCACAGTTTTCCTCATTACAGCTCTCTGGCTTTAAATTACCTCTGCTATCTTATAAAATATCTGCTGTCTGAAGGCAAAATCAGTTGTTGCTGGCTTTTTATTTTTTTAAATGTCATTTAAGGTTGTGGTATCTGACAAATTGCCCCCTCTGGCCCACCACTTGAACAGGACTAAGCAGGTGATACATTTTGTGTTAAGCATGGAATGGCAGATTGCTGGAATAGATGAGCAGTAACCAATGAAGTTTGGGGTTGTCATCACAGTGTCCATCCCTGGGTATCATTATAGGCTTGCTCATCATTCTGTCATGGTTTTCAGGGAATACTTAGTGGGATTTTGAATCGCTCAGTATTAAATTGATACATTTTCAGAGGCTTTATGTGGAACCATCAAAGTGTCGTTTTGCTCGAGGAGCACACAACCTATTGTATTTCAGTAGAGAAATTACACCTAAGTCCTTTAGAGGCGTTTAAAAATGTTTGAATTGTCATTTAATAGTGTCATAAATCAACACCAGCTCTAAACACTTTCTGTAACAAAATGTAAAATTAATTTAAATGTTTTGCACTTGATGATAAACAACAGAATTTCCAGTGTTTTCAGCCATCTGGTCCAGTAATTTTTCTGTTTCGCAACAGTATAAAATAGGATTAAATGCAATTTCAGGAAGCTGTGAGAGTCTGAAATCTGAGGATCTTACACTAAGCATGCCAAAACATAATCCCAAATCCTGTTTGTAAAATTAGCTATTTATCCTACCTCCACGTTTTCATGCAAAATAAATTCTGCACTACCTTAAATTGGCAGGAAAGCTGGTGAATATTTTTTTACCAAACTGTGAATGCTTTTGACTGTGATGCTCAGCTGCATCTATGGCCAGTGCACAGAAAGGCTCAGTGGTGAAGGAATTTGGCATCAGCTGGAAATGAAAAGCTCTGTCATGACAGAACGTTCTCTCTTGGGGGAAGAAGCTCGATTCCCAACTCTGCTGCCTATGGGTTTGCAAACTTTGACAGGAAAGGCAAGTACTTAGCAACAAAATGACTTTTTCTTTAATCTGTTTGGTAGCATGAATTGGACTTGCAAGGACAATCCAAAAGGCCATTCAGGGCAGTGAGCAGTGAGTAGAGAGTGTTTGCAAGAGGGAAGAAAAAAAAAGAAGAAATTACTGGTTTGGAGGTGACAATGACACGATTCATTTAATGTCAAATTGTTTCAGAAGTTCTACAAAAATCCCATGGCTACTGAGGAGGATGGGAGGAATGTAGACCTGGCACGTGGATCATTAGGAGTCGGACAAAATCAGACAGCATTTGCAAATTTTTTGTAAAAAAATCATGTTCTGAGAGAAGGGGAAGAATGGTTGGACTTCTTTAAACATTCTTTTGGCTAATCAGACAATGATTCAGTCAGGCATTTCAAAATACATTATAAAGCCTTAAATATGAATTATGGGTGTCCTCTTTACCTGCTTCTGCTTGTCATTTAGCTTTTCTGCTACCCCTGACCAAGATGGGATGGTACTTGCATGAGACCTACCCAGAAATTTTCTGAATAGCATATTGTTGTCTCCTGCCACAGGTCAAATGTATTTCTTTCAAGTTTATAATGGGAGTGATTTTTTTACTCCAGTACAGTCCAAAATAGAAGTAATCTGGTTTTTTTTTCAAAAGAACAGAACAGCCTTTAGTCATTAAAAATACAGAGGGAATCAGAATAAACCTGCCTTGTTTGTACCCCATACTAGATAAATGTTAATTCATGTCATTCTGAGCTGGACTCTTCTTGCAGGTGCCAGCCTTTCCTGGCTGCTCTCATCTTTCTTGCCCTCTTCTTATAACTCACAACCTCTTCTGCTTTATTAGATTTCTTTGATGTATCTGGCTCTGTTCCATCTGTCTTGAGCAAAGATTACAACTTACCTTCTCATGTGTGTTTTTTATTTGTCTTGCCCTTTTTCTTAAGGTCACTGGCCTTGGGTAAACTCTCCTTAGCGAATCTTCTTCATGTTAATTGACAAATACAGCTCCACTATCCTTGCCTTTTAATTCATGTTTGAGTAGCATCATTCTTTAGGCAGGTACCTAATTTTAATCTGCTGCCTCTGAACTGTTCCTTCTCTCTAGCCAAAGGAGTAGTGGGATGACAAACACACCTTGCAGTGAGCATAAAGAAGTCAAAGTCCAGTAACCCTAAACAGAGCTGGTGAAGCAGAATGAAGTTTTACTAATTATTTATTACTATTAGAATTATTTACTTCTGTTTACTAATTAATTGTTCAAAATGCAAGTTCAGGTAAACGGTTTAGTTTTAATTTAATGCTGCATGTAAAGAATGAAGGTAAACGTGACACCTGTAAACTGCTAACCCAATACATGCTCTCTCTCCCTTTTTTTTTTTTAACAGGCATTAAAGCTGTATTTGCTGGGCATTACCACAGGAATGCTGGAGGGTCCTACAAAGGCCTGGAAATGGTGGTTTCATCAGCTATAGGATGTCAGCTGGGAGACGACACGCACGGGCTTCGAGTGGTGGTGGTCACAGAGGAAAAGCTGGTTCACAGATATTACAGTTTAAATGAACTGAGCAGCCAAGGCATAGAGAAAGAGCTGCTGGATGTGCTTGCTAAGCAAAAGTAAGCTGTATCAAAGGGGTTTTTCCATATTAGATAAATATAAACAGTTTCATGAAGTTTCCCCAAGCTAAAATACAGATTCCTGACTGCACCGTGTCCCAGAACAGCTCTCAATTTGTTGTCCTCAATAACAAGAAAGTTGTTGACGTGTTTTTCTTTTTGAAAATGAGACCTGTGAGGAACATGGAAGAAGAGCAGAGCTAATATGGTGATGTGTCATTGAAAAGTACTGCTCTGAGAATCTTCATCTCAAAAAGGTTTGAAATCAGCAGACTCCCACTGACTTTAAGCAACCTCCGGATCATTCCGTGTTACCTCGTGTCAGATTTTCCCCCATTTCCCAGGCTTTACTTTCTTAGCTCTTTGGAGCCAGCAGCAGTAGGAGAACAAACACATTCTGGTTTGCAGTCACAGCTTGGGGTTCTGTTATATCCATTATAAGGTTTCATATAATGTTACATAGTTCTATAGTTTCTGTTATATAGTTTTATACAACAAAAAGTCTATAAATGAGGCTAATACAGACATGCCACTGACAGCAACTAAATGTGAAACAACTATTTTCATTTTGAAATTTAACTACCATTCAATTAGCATATATTCTTGCTACAGAAGTTGGAATAATTGCATGGGGAGAATGTTCTGTACAGAATACTGTTGTCAGAAGTCATTTTGTTGAATCGTAGACAAGAGGAGAGCATTGATTTCCAAATGCAATGTAGAGTGCCTTCCTGTAGTATTAGAGAATATTGAAAACCCTAAAAAATATATTTTCTTCACTGGAATAAGTCATTAAAAATAAATTCTGTAAAAGAAGTTTATGTGCTGCAATCCACCTCTTTTTTTAGCAAGTGTATGTGATTTGTTTAAAAAAAAAAATCTTCATGTGAGTAACTCATCCCTGTTTTTATTTTTGAAGTATTTAGTTGAACACATTACAGTCCATGCCATAGGTTATCTGAAATTAGAGCTGGTGCAGCTGTGGCACCTGAAGAGGAGGAACACACTGAACATTACTTGTGCTGCCTGAGCAGTGGTGCATTCTAGCAGGTTTTATGCATACTCACATACAAGAATGTTCCCTAGAGGGTATTACAGGTATTTAAATATGGTGAGAGGTATGAAATGCTGTGCTGAAGAGTCAGTTTAATTACATTTTAGTCACAACAGTTTATCTCAGAGGCTCCTTCAAGCCTGATTTGTGGGACTCCTGAGACTGTGAAATCACCTCTGTAGCATTGCCTTGCACCAGGGGAGGGGCTGTACCTGCAGCTGGACTGGGCCAGAGGGGGACTGTGGTCCCAGGACAGCAACCTGAGCACAGGGAATGTTTGATTCAGAGAAAAACAAAATGATTTTGCTTTTATTCTCCACCTGGTTTCACTTAGTTGAATGTTTTCATAGTCTCATTTTCAGGAGAACCACGTGGAAAAGAAGAGAATGTTTTCACTGCTCATATAGTACAGTCAGGGGAAGGATTTTTAACCATGGTGTGTGGCTGGACATTCCTGTGGGAAGTAAAGACTTAAAAAATAAACTAGGAATGCTTTTTTACCAGCATAAATGACAAATTCTGTTGCATCACTTTTTTTAGGGTAATTAGCTAATGTGGAATTAATACTGATACCTTAGCTAATTTGAAATGGCAGAGGTCCTTGTTGTCACCATGCCTCATGTTGTTTATGCCAAGAAAAATAACATATATTATGTTAAATTATGAAACAATTCACCCATGGAGACCCTAGTTATAATTTTTAAAACCATCTTTTGATGCTGAGGACATTATTTTCGTATGTCCAGCAGGGTTGGTAATTGAAACTCTGTCAGTGTCAGCTTCTGACTGACCTTAAAGCAAGATGTCACTGGAAGTTCCAAGTGCTGGTGAAACAGAGAGCAAGGGAGTGGACTCAAGGCTGGGCAGAGAAGAGAAAAATCCAGTGACCACAACTCATTGGGATTTCTTTTAGGCCTCTAAAAGGATGAAATAAACCTTGATGACTGTTATTAAATGTGGAAAATTCATATTAGAACACCAGAGCAACCTGTGAAAGTAACCAAATACTGCATAATTAAGTACACTCTGAGGTAGGAGCATGAGGCAAATGACTAAAAACAAAGTCTTTGAGAGAAGTCTTGATTTGTAAGCAACAAATTGAAGAACACACTGCTTCTGAACCTTTCCAAAAAGTCAGTAAGACTTGAGTGCACTGTTTGCTGCCACTACCAAAATAACATCCAGCTGATGGGCAAATTCCTTAGGCAAATATGAGACATCTACTACAAAGAGCTAATAGAGGAAAGCTTTCCAAGGCCAGATATGTAGGGCCCAGCATGGGCCTCTCAGGAGGCAAACAGCCACATGGCAGCTCCCACAGCCACCACAGGGAAGTTCATTCCAACAGCCAGCAGCAGGCTCACAGCAAGCAGGGCAAACCATGACAGATTTGTAGGGCTTCTTTGGAAAAGTTTTTTGGATTATCTCTTTTGGCACTTAAAATTAGTTCCTTTTATTAGGGAGGGAGGCGTCATGAGTAGTTTGCACCCATTGTAATCCCATTGTCCCTGACATAAAGGGGGTTTATTAATTGTTACTCAGGCAGAAGATTATGTGAGTCAAAGCTGATAAATGCAAGCACTGTGCTCTTGGACACAATTTCATTGGAAAATGCCCCATAAATAAATTGCAAAAGTAAAATATATAATAGAGAAAAAGCATTAGACCAGAATGTTAAATGAGCCTCCAGTCCAAATGAAGTACAGCTAAGCAGCAGCAGATACAGAAGGGGGAAGAGGGGGGGCAGAAAACCCCCACGAATACACACAGAACTAAGGCAACACAGACAAATTAAAACCTTTTCAAGCGATACAAAAACATACCCAGCACTGCTCTAAAAAAAAAGAAAAAAACCATAACCACAGCCCACAACTCAGAGAGCCATTACTTTTTTTTAATTGACATTTTCATTTGTTTCTCTACAAGTAATTTCCTCCATTAGCACTTTGTCAAATGCAGGTAGTTTAGTACATTTCTACTAATAAACACCTTATTTTTTTCTCTAGGAGACCCATTAAAGCCTCATCCTATTTAAATTTATAGTGGTATTATTTCACTTTTGGGTAGCCAGAAATTGGAACATCTGTCTTGTAAATATATCCCTGTCTTTCTTGAACATTGCTTAGAAAGGTATAGCATTGTTAAAAAACACAATTTGGCCTTTTAAATTAACTGGTAATGGCATTATCTATGTATATTCAAATCTTTCTCACTCTTCTCCATATAAAAAAAGCACAGCAGTACAGGAAGGTATCTCATAGTGCTCTAATGAACCAAGATCAGAGCCCTTCACAAGCCAACCTGCCTGCCCAGAGATTTGCTGAATAATGTGTCAACAGCACACCAGGCAGGAAAGCAGTGGCTTGGATTTGGATACACGTGAGACAAAGATAATATTACCACAGGAGAATGTGGTTCCTCCAGTTCACTGCAAGCACGGAAGCCAAGAGGCTGCTGACAGAACACACAGCACAAAACCAATTTGTTTTTTTTTACAAAGCCTGAGCTGAACTTAGTCTTACCCTTTTATTAATTCTAAGTCTTGGTCTGTCATAGCCAATGAGGAGGAGGTGGAGCCCCCCCACTTTGCTTCAGCTGTATAAAAGCTGATGTGCAGCCCTCCACTGGTCTGGCAATTAATTTGCACTCTCTCTTCACAGTGAGAGTGCAACAGAGATGGGATAGGGCATCTTCCCTACCATCACCACTCCCTTTGCCTCTTTTTCTTCCGTTTTTTCCAAGCTGCAGAAAGGAGTCACCATTCCCACCAGGTGTCATTCCAGCCATTTACTACAGCAGGAACAGGTCAGGAGCTGATACAATCATCATACGTGTACTCCACGTCTGTGGACCTCCTCACTCTCTGTCCTCTGTCAGCATCCCCTTGAGACTCTCACATACCTGTGGCCTTACCTCATACATTAAATCTAAGAGAGGATGGGTGAGACTCAGTGCAGACAGGTTAGGGCAGAATTCAACAGGTCAGGGCCTGAGCTGTCACCCCACAGAACCAGAACATGAAGAGGTGGGTGAGAAATGAAGCTGAACTGGGAAGCAGCTCAGGACGTGCTGCTGGCCATCCTCCTCGGCTGAAGTTGGCACCATCCTCTCCTGGCACTCTTTAGGTGCATGGGGTGCTCCTGCAGACCATTTGCTTCTCTGCCTGTGGCATTTGTCAAACAGATACTCCCAGCAACTCAACATCAAGAAATGTTCACTGTTAACAACATAAACACTGGTTAATATTGTACACTCAAATAAACCACAGAGCCAAGTTCCCAACTGCCCTGATGGTCACTGTTCAGACCAGGGCATGGATCCTTACAGCTCCACAGATCCCTCCACACCCTTCTGAGTGTGCACACACTCCAGCATGAAGGCAGGCTGATCCACAGCATTGCTGCTCTGGCTCCCAGGGGAACAGCTCTGACTGTCTCCAAAGCTCTACCCAACCTATGGAATTGTTGGAGCAATTTGAGATACAACATGACGTAGCACACGAGCTTTGTAGAGCAGTATTGTCTCCCCCTCCATTCTTAGTCCTTCTATTTTGATTAAAAAGCATGTTTAGGAATACGATGACTGTAAAATGGTGTACAATTAATAATTCCAATTTATTTCATTTTCCCATAGTCCCATACAGAAGGTGAAGTGTTCATTACCAAAGATAAACTCCAGCAATAACTGGGATTGCTGTCTTCATTCGGTGCATTTCAGCATATTTTGTTCAGACTGCAGATTTCTACACTGTTCTTTAAGTTTTCTACAATACAATACCATCAAAAAGAGGAGTAAGGAAGAGGATCTATAATTCATGAAAAATATTGGGTTTTATCAGTACACTGCCTCAATGCAAGAATTACAGCTTCAATCACTTTTCCAAGAAAGCAAGGAAAGAGAAAGAGCAATAACAAAGCGTGCTGTCTGTTAACTGTGACCCAATTTGAGAGTTGAAATACACCAATTATTGTTCAGAGAGCAGCACTCCTTTTTACTGTGCAGCAATTTAACCCGGACAATAAATGCATATTGAAAATTCAATTGATTTAAAATCACAAATGCTGCCAATCTTCCCAATCAAAGGACTTTTCATATTCCCTTTTTTTTTGATACACTACCATGATGGATAACTGTGAAGAATATTTTGTAAAGTCTCTTTCTGAGCCCTGTTTTTAACAGAATTTTGTTTGCTGTGGGTAAATACAGGAGGTAATGGTTTACATGTGATCATTCAAAATTAATTCTAAATTTTACTGCCTGCACTTTTAATATAAATTAGTCTGCATTAAAATCAGACTTCAAGACAAACTAACAGTTTGACAAAAACAGAGAAACATGGATACTTACCAAACAGATCAAAAAAGTGACAGGACTATGTTAAAATTCACCTCCAGTAAATACTGAAGGGACTTTTACAAATTTATTGTTTCACTGTTTTTCTTATCTGTGCATTAGGCTGTGTAGAAGTTTCCTATTTTTCTTCTAGAAAAGCAGTTCATTGAGTTAGATTGTTTCTAAGCCCTCTATTATCAGTGCAGATATCTAATGCCTCTTCTTATCCAAAGAAACAATGCAATCCTCATTTATTTCTCATTAAAGATGCATTGTACAACTAATCAGCTAAAGGTATTTTACTTGAAGCTTCTGAAGTTTATTTTTAAGTCTTCAACATTTTAATTGCTTTGCTTTGCCCTTGGGTTCCCAGAAATTAAAATATAAACACAAAACTTCCTGTGGAGGTAAAGTAAAACCCTTGAAATTTCCATACTCTTAGACAACATTAGAGCAATGCAAATTTAAGCATTTACATTTGTTGGTTAGTATTTCCACTCTACTCCCTCTTCCTCACCCCCCTCCTTTTTCTTTCAAGCAGCAAATTAAATAATTCTTCACCTTGTTGACTTCAACTATCAGTTGCTGTGCTTCAGGACATTTTCCTATTTCCTAGCTTTTGAAGGTGCTTCTGCTTCCCCCTGTACAGCACACACCCTGGAAGAAGGCCATGAGGGCCACAGAGGTGCCCTGCCCTGGGTTGGGCACTGCCCAGTCGAGGTCTCCAGCCCTTGAAACAGGATCTGCTGTAACACATAATGTCATCTAATTCACTGCAGAGAAGGGCATTAAGTTACTCAAGGTTCTTTTTGTCTTCCTCACACATATTCATTAGTAAAAGCCTTACAGAATTGTTATGCAACCCCTGCACTGAGGTGTTTGAAGACACGCTATCCCCAAATGAACTTCCTGCTATTCCGAAGTTTCAGGTGTAAAGAATGTTGGCACTGCAGGCTCTGGGATCTGTGGCCCAGGAGCATTATTTCAATATTTCCCACAATATTAGAAGGCAAAAGCCACTTAACTTCGGGACAGTGTGAGATCTCACAGTTACAGGAAGACCTGCTGATTAGCATTCCCAGTTTTAATTAAATCTGGTGTAGCTACTGCCCCTGGGGACTGAAACATAGTGAAGATACTGTTTAGAAACTAGGACATAGCCTGGCAGAGGCTGAGCACAGAAACTGGAGTTGGCTGTAAACCAGACAACGTAGTTAAGACACACTCAGAGATCTGACAGATGTTCAGACTCAGCTCTGCAACCAGATCTCAGTTAACCACGGCCACACTGCAGAGGACAGAAGTTACCTCACGATTTTTAAGTAAAGTTAAAGCCAGTATTGGAATTAGTTGGGCCCTTTAGCTTGAGAAATGGATTGTTCAACCCTAGGATTTCCTTGCTGTAAAATTATCTCTTTACAATGGAAAGATCCCCATTTCTCCTGGGGAATTCCTTTGCATTACTACTGAGGGCTTCTCTCATTCTGCACTGGCCACAGGCACATTCTGCCTCAAAGATGAGCAGAAATAGAGCTCCAAGCACATATTCAGTGCCAACCTTCACCTGCCAGGTGCAGTGGCAATTCTCACCGAGCTTCCCACTCGGCTCACTCCTGGTTTCTTACCATTTCAACTACCACCACACAAAGGATATTTAATTATTCCTCCCATGAACCTGAATGAATGACATCTTAAGTCAGGGTCTGTTAATGAGGCAGAAATCAAACTGATGTTTGATGGCAGCGCTCAGAATTGTTCAGCATAATATTAAAAAAGTTCACTCACAGTAGTAGAGAGTAGTGTTGTGTGAGTAGTAGTGTTGGTACTTACAACACACCACTGACTAACTGCTGAATGTCACTGCTTATTATAAAAACATACTTAAAGGGAATTATTTGGAAAATACAATCAATTTTTAATTTTAATGAATATTTAATTTAACGTATTTTAAGAGAAATAAATCTCTTCTTACCCTCTTCATTATTCTGCACTGACCAGTCAGCCCATCTGTGTTCTCTGTAGGAAAATATTGGAGTAGCCTGACACAAGACCGTAGGAAACACTTCACCTAAACAAATTATAGCTACTTTTTTTTTTAAAAAACATGCACATCAGTGTTTGCCAGGTGGGGGGAGGAAGGCTTCATTATGAAGTCTCTCAGTTAATAAGAATCATCAAGCTAAAAGAAAAAAAACCTTGGAAACTGCACAGTTTAACACAATAAAACCCCAGCAAATCCAGAGCTCATCCATCAGTACCATTTATTTCTCAGCTGGGGAACTCACACAACCTTTTCTTCACATTTATGCTCAGCTTTGGCTCATTACTTTAATACTACCAGAAAACTAAATTATGCCAATTGTTTTCACTGCAGAAACTTAACAGAGCATCCAACTGTGCATAGGATTCCTTATGGTAAGAGACACTGAAGCATCACAGAGGGAACAGGGCAAGCCAAGTTTCCAGAAGACTCTTGTGAATTGGGACACTAGTGGTGACAACTTAGATTCAGTAACATTATTTTAAATTAAGGCCTCTGCTCAGAAATAGGGGAATTGTCCAGCCAGCTCTCCACATTCAGGGGCTCAATACAGAAGCAAAAAGAAGGTGTTTTCCCAGACAGAACTTGCCTTGACTGAACTGTCCCTGAAAACGGGTGCCATGACAGCAAGTTATGTACCTACTGAATATTCAAGTGCATTGCACCTTTTTATCACCTCAGCCCCGAGTAGCTAATATTCAGTGATGAGTACTGAACAAGACATGTGACTAATGCATTTTAATGCACTTAAAAGTCTTGATAAAAATAACCATTTAGCAGAGAAAGCTTTTTAGTAAAAAAGCCTGATGAGTTTGAATAGTATTACAGCCTTTGCCAAGTAGAACTAAATTTCACTCAAATTAAGGCTCTAAAAGCCTTGAGAAACATTATCCAAAAACATTTTGTTGTGCTGGAATTGTTAGCCACTTTGTAAGTGACATCAAAGGAGGAGGAAATTAAAATCTTAGCAGTCCTCCAAAATATGCTAATTTGATTACTTGACCTGGTATCAAATTGTTGGGAAGGGCTGTGTTCAGAAATGCCAGCCTGCCATCATCTCTGCTCCTGGACACTGAATTTCACTAAGCACAGTGTAAAAGTAGCAAAGGTACTGGAGAAATTCAATACCTAATATTTAACATCAACCAAAACATGTGGAAGTAATTTTATTTCCTTACCCTATTTCTAAATTAGAACTTTACTACTCTGAACTAAGGCAAATCAAATGCTGTAGGTCTGGTTAGTGAATTAAATTATTGAACTTTTTCTAGAAGCTCTTGTGCTTATTCTAAAGGAATTAGACCAAGAGGAAAATAGTCAACATTTTGATTCTTCTAAGGTTCTGGTGTGTTTTTCATTAAAGGTCACTGAACACAGAATTTAAATAAGGTTCATTACAAAGGCATAAATTTGAAGTTTATATTTGGTTACAAGCTGTCTTTGAATGCTGAACAAGTTTGGAAGTTTCTGATTAGCTGTCAATGATCTTATGACATGTTATATTCAGTAAATGCATAATTAGAACTCCCCCTCATCTTTGCACATTAACTACACTGGGTGCTAACAAAGAGAAACTCCCAATTAGGTAGGCTCAAATTGCAGCTGCACTCATCACATGCTGTTGACTTCACTCCTGGCAGCATGTTTTCCACTTTCTGCTGGGTGATACCATTCGAGGGAAAATGAGAGCAAGAAAGTAAAATACTGAAAGCAATCCCCAAAGCAGTACAGCTCACCTTCTTCACCTCATCTTCTGCTTGAAACACAGCACTTGATCTGCCCGGTTAACCGGCTGACAACACTTCTGCAGGACAAGCCCCTTGGAGAGCTCCCCAGCTGAAGGCAGTAAAGCAGGTTGATGTCTGGCTGGGTCGTTAAGTGTGAGATGATCGGTGTCCTGATGGCTCTGCCACCCAGCACAGAGCACTGTCTGTCTGAGGAGCAACGAGGGTTTCTTTTGAAAATGTCTGACATGGAAGAAGAAAGCATGAGAAACAGGCCTTTTCATACTTGTATTCAACACATGCACCTTTTTAACCCTACCAGTGTCTGCTTTAAGGCACAGGCAGCCTCTTCAACGTTGCCATCTAGCCCAGCACACACAGGGACACCTCTATCAGCCACCACACACTGTGAGCTTTGCAGAAAGCCTCCACACAACTAGTGATTAAACTTGTCAATGAGCTACAAATTATAAAAATCTTTATGAAGTTCTTTCCAACATCTGTGCCAAGAAAAGTGGATCTGATAATTCACCTCTAGCAGACAGCACTTTTCTGTAAATATTTCATTTTTCCCATTCCAGGTGGTATAACACAACTAAAGAAATCTGGGTGATTGAGTGAGTTGAACAAAAAAAAAAAAAGCCTTTGTTGAAAAGACTGAAACCCACAGTCAAAATGAGGGACAGATTTTAAAAGCAGCAGGAAGCATTAACATTTCCATGTCACAGAATAGATGCCTGTCATACAAAAGGAATTGGACCACATTTGTTCCACCACTGTGGTGACAAATAGGTTTTCTTCAATAGGCTGTAAGAATTTGTAGCCTGATGCATTTATTTCTGTGCCAATAGCAAATGTCCTCTCAGTCTCCCTCACAATTCCATCCATCTGAAGGCTGGAGAGAAAATAGGGCAGCACCTCTGGAGGACAGTGTGTATCTGTGGCTTCAGAAAGGACAGCAGAACAATTTGGCTGGCCAGATACATTTGCAGTAACTGGTTTTCAAGCTCTGTGTCTGTTGTAGTGTTTACCAAACACAAAACATACCACTCTCCTTTTTAGTCCTTTACATCAGTTACCTAGTAGCAGATTTGGGAAGGACCAATGGTAGAAGATGGTGGCAACCTGAGGAAAAAGGAGATTTGCCAAGTAATTTTACGACAAGTTTTTAAAAATTCCCATGACAAACACTTGGTTTTTTTCACTTTGCTGCATTAAATAACTGACCAGGTTTTCAAAGTCACCTGAGCACTAGTCATCCCCAGGAGTTTCTGTGATTCCATCCATTTCAGTTCTTCAGTCAAAGCAGGGCTCTGTGGGAAAAGGTCTTGGAAAACACTGATGATGTTATGGAACATGGAAAACTGAGCTACTGAACCACATGTCCTGTCCCAGCTGCCTCGGGAATGCCTGGGCTCAGTGCTCCACTGCAAGTGCACAGGGTCGGAATTCTGCCTTTGGGATGGTCAGGGATGCAATAACCACACTGTGCTGTAGAGCGAAGAACAGGAATTGCAGTAACTGCAAGTTCTTTTGTTTGCTGATTACAGGTTACTGAGGTCCTACAATATAGTATCTGCAATTATTTAAGACTGGTTATTTTTACACTGCGAGGAGAGAGAAGCAAATGGATCTGCATATGAAAGGTGACACTTCTGAAAGCAAATGCTGGCCTAGAGACTTAAATGTTTCAAAAATATTTATACATTTCTGCTTGCAAATGCCCATCTTCAGACACTGTGGTTTTCATCTGAATAGAGACTGGCCTATAGTATCACTGAGTTCACTGAGAATTACAGGGCAAGAACTCAGGGAAAATTAATTTTGACAACCATCCATTAGGATGAACCAGATCACTGCCCTCCAAATTGCTTTCTCCTTTGTATATACAAGAACTGTCAGCATATAGGGCTATCAAAACTGAATATGGACAAAAGAAGCAGCCTGAGGGGTGCAATAGGAAACATTAATCTGGAACTTAACTTTAATCCAATTTAAAGTGTGCTTATGATCATAACTAAATTACAGAATTACTGGAAATTTTTACTACTTTGGATTCTGGAGAAATGAGGCTAGAATAATATTACAAGGCCCTGTTTTGATATTATCTCACTGATTTGAGCTATTTTTAATTTTAAATAATGAAAATTTCTCTTGGCTTCTTGGGCATTAAAATTAAACTGGGTTACTTTCTTTGTCATAGCAATTACATGAAACATAGATTAAGGCAGCCAAATTAACTTGCTTAAGCCACTGATAAATCTGTTAGTTCCTACCTGCAAATGCTAGATCATCATCTGACTAATTATGCTTCTACAATGTGCCTCATTGACTGTGCCACCTCTTTCATGACAATCAAGGAATACTCTTTTCTTTTGTAAAGTTCAAATGAAATCTATGTCATTTTTAGAGTCAGCTCAAGTTTTCACCCCAACAGTGGCTGCAAATACAGTAAGCAAGAGCCTAATGCTATATGTTAAAGTTTCTGTGCAACACATTAAATCCTGGTATCCTGTGGAGACATAATCACATTAGAGCTCTAAGCACATGTAATACTTCTATTTCTTGATGTGCTGGAAAAAAAGAAGTAACCTTAGCTCATTGAAATAATTTCATATTCATATACCAACTAGAGAGCTATGTCACAGGGCAGCTGGTTATACTGTCCTTCACGTTGCTATTTGGTAACATATTCCTGTGCATAGGAGTCTCAAATAAATAGAGTTTGCCAGGCTTCAAGATGCACACTCCTGCCCAGGATAAGTGATCCTAAAAGTTTGATTCAGACTCACATACCCTGTGACAAGTCCTTTGGTAAGCAAGGGATCATTAGACATCAACTCCCAAGGGAAGGGTTTGTCAAAGCACATCAGCAGGTTGAGCACAAGTGCCCAGGATTGTGTCTTTCATGGAATAATAAAGTAGATGAATGTCAATAATATGCTTTGTTAAACAGCTAATGGGCTGGGCAAAGCCTGAAAAGGCTAAATTAACCAAGGAATGAAAGCCAGCACAACCTACCACAACTGCTGGGAAATGGGTCAAGGAGTGTGGCCCGACTGTGTCCTCTTTGGACCCCCATGAACTGCTCTGGTGTGTTAATGGGTTCTCATACATTAATGTGCAAGTGCAGAAGTACTCTGGAGGCAACAAAACATTCCCTGCTATTCCTACAGTATTCCTATTGTTGTCTGCAAAGACATCAGAGTCATGATTTCACCTTATTTCATATGTGCAGGCACATTTTGTTGATACATCAAGCCCCGAAACAGAGAAAATTTGATTTTGAAAGGGACCTCTGGAGGTCATGTATCCAAACCCTGCTCAGAGCATGCACTTCAGCTGAACTAAGCACATAACCTCTTCTTCCCTCAACACCCAGCATAAAATATTTATGAGAAATAAAATCTTGTTTTGGCACCCTCTGATTGCAGCTCCACTTATTGTTCCATTTTTGTTAAATAAAACACAATGATATTAAAAGTGCACCGACCTGAGCCATGTTATTTTGCAGACATTTTCTTACTGGTCTTTAAGTTGGCAAACTGGAACATAATGTCCCACAAACAACAGAAGTCCCAACATCTACAACAACCTGGAATTTTACTCTGAAAATTCCATTCCACTTGAAACAGAGCTTGAAGTCCTTTGTAACAAATGAGGATGAGGTTATTTTGTAAGATTCTACTTGTTAGCAGGTTATTTTTATTCATATCATTAAAACCTGTCTTTCTTATTTGTTCAAAGAAAATGCCAGTCTGATCTACTGATCACAGCTTTTAAATATCCATGGGTTTAAACTTTTAGAATGCATGAGTTCATGCTTTTGAAAAAGAGATGTTTTTGTATTTCATCTCCTAGAAGCCTAATATTGTAGACATACAAATTTTGTCTGCCAAATCTTTTTGTCAAGATGAGGGTTTGGGGAAAAGACATTTATATCTTATTGAGGAGCTACAGTTAGAACCATATTCCACTGAGTGTATACCTTAAGTAAACCTTCAGATATTCTGACTTGCTTTTTTCTGAAATGAATTTTGCAGAAACAAAAAATATATGTGAAAAAAAAGAGAAATGAAAGAGCTCTGGGGTTTTTTTCTTATTTATTTGTTTGCTTGTTTCATGTAAGCCACAAAGTCATGTGTAGGGTACTGCTAAAACTCCCTAATATCAACCCAAATTTCTAGCTGGGGTTCTCAGACCTAGCTCCTAGTCACACTCTTCCCAGGGTAATTTTCATTGCCATGGATGGAAAACAAAACACACAACAAATACTTGCAAATGTTTGAATACTGTAATCTAGATGAAGAAACATTAGCCTGAGCACATTACCAAGGTGTAGAGTAAAAAAGGAAAACAAATAACTGGTTCAGTGCCAGCCATTGCCAACCACTGTACACACATCAACACCTGCTCTTTTTTATTGGGCTGGGGTGTCCTTTAACATGTTCCTTTGTAATAATTCATTAAGAATCTCAGCGCTTTTTTTTATTTTTTAAAGTTTCTCATCACTATATTGGCTGAAAATAACAGGAAATAACCTACAAAGGTCATCTCTCTGTGACATATTAGCTCATAGCCCCCCCAAAATAAAGAAAAAACCCACCAAGAACGTGCTTCAAAATGTTGAATTGATCACAATTTTGGGGACCTGACACATTTTTACATGTTTGAGTTTGGCAATGTCAAGTAATTTGCTTGCACTCAGACACACCATGTCAAACTGAACAGGATGGATATCCTCATGCTCAATAATTTTCTAGTTCAATAAACATTTCTCACCTGCTGGATTTGCTGTCAAGGCATATCATACACTTACTCTCTTTAGATAGTACTAATTGTATTTTTGGACTTCTTCCAACTTGTTTCTGAAATCCAGCTTGATGGATAAACACTCCATAGCTATTTTACTCAAGTCTTAACTCCAGAGATACTTTCAAGATGCTCCTACACTGCCAACAGGTTTCTTTTGGAAGATAAGCATCAACTAAGGATTGGTGAAGATTTCTCCTGCCTAGTCAAACTTAGTATCCTGCAATCTGTACTGAGAGGAACACATTCCCAGTAATAATGCAGTGCTATCCATACATTTGAAATGTTTCTTTGGCCAAGCTCAGCCTATTTCCAATGTAGCACATGTGCATTGTTTGTTCTCAGAAGCTCATGGAACTTGAGGTATTTATTCAAATGAAGTATAAGTAATACAGAAGTACTCCCCAACAAAAGTTAGTTGCTGTGCAAACAAAAGCCACAGCACTGACAGCAGTACCATTATGTACAAGTACTAACATATATAAAATTTCAAAATTTCTATAAAAACTTCTTTTTACTGAGTTATAACACAAATACATGGCTCCACAGTACCACATTTCAAAAACCTTAATTTTTTATCATCTCATTAAAGACAAAATATGTGGTTCAATTTAATAATTGAGATTGTTACTTTTTTGATCTCAGTTTCACTCTCTCCTGCCTTTTCCATTTACCCTGTTTCATTAACAATGATCCTGAAGTCAAAAGTGTCTTTTTACTACCAGGAATTCAAGCAGAGCAAACTAGAAAGCGTAAGAATAATCTCAGTCTAGATCCTTCTTCTCTTCCTTCCACTATCCTCGTTAAACTCTTGTAAAAATCAATAAGCTACTTATTATTATAAGGTAACACATTCCTTAATGCTCTCCCAGCTAAATTTCCTCAGGTTGTAAGCAATGAGCTGTGGTCCATATATTCATGAGTACAGTCTAACAATGGTTCCTGGTACCTGCATGCAGAGAGCTGCATTGTCAAGCCAGACCCTGCACAGCATTCCATGGATTTCACTCTGCACTGGCAAAGGCCCACCTCTACCTGTTAAGATCTGTGTTTCTTTTCTGGCACTTATTATTCATAGGGAGTGCTGCTTACTTCACAGCATTTTTATATTTTACGTAGAAGAAATACATTTCTCAAAGTTAAAAACCTGCTAAACAACGGAGGAAAGCCCTGAATTTTATTAGAACATAATTCATCATTTCATTACTTTAGATTTCCCCCTCCCCCAATTATAAGTGAGAATTTCTTCGAGGGAATTTATGTAGTGCCATTCAGTATTAACCTTGTCTGCCTGGAGAGTGCACACCCATACAGACACATGAAGGGTCTTGTAAATAATAACACTGTTTTCAAGGCCCTCAGAGCAGGATGATGGTCCTGAAGATGAATATAAAGATCATATCAGGTAAGTAGGTATGTTTTGGAGCTTCTACTGCTACCCAGTACCAATAACTATCAGCTACAGCATTAGGCAATGGCTTAACTGGTCCCTTCTTACAAGACAAAGATGGTGCTGAGGGTTAAGCAAGCTCTGAAGGAGGTGCCTGTTGGCTGTGAGAGGAGGATCACAATAAGACAGTGGTGTTTCTCTCAAAACAGGAGGCTAGAAAAGAGCTGTCTTTAGTTTTTACACACTCCATGGTGTGTAAACATGACAGTCTGGGAGAACAGGGACATGTCACATTAGTGCTGACCTTTGAAAATCAGTTCCTTGCAAATGGGTGCCCAAAACATCCATGTCCTTGGGCAGGCCTCTCCCAGAAACACAGATATCAACACTGGCAATTCTTGAAATCTGTGGCAAATCTATCAGTTCTTGCTCCATTTGCCATCCATGAATTTCAAGCCACATCAGGAAAATCTCAGTTATGACATATTAATTACCTTTTCCTCTTTGCCCTGGCCTGGATTTCACTGGATTTCTTTCTTAGTCGATGCCACAGGCAGTGCACAGCCAGCACCACTACAAAATTATTCCAAGGCAAGGACTCCTGTCTAAAGGCTCTTATCACCCCAAGACCACAAGCTGCAGGAAGCACTGTCAAG